TTAGGTAAAGTTCTATTAACAACTTTTTTGGATATAATTGTTGTATTTTGATAGGCGACTCATGGATTTGGATGCTCCTTTTTTATCATAGGGATGGAAGATATGGGGTTCCTAGTTCTACATCTTTATCAATTGATGAACAGCAGAGGATGCAACAGTATAATCAAATTATATCTGGCAGAAATATTCAACAACACACCATGTCTGCTCCTGGAGCTTTTCCAGGAGCTGATCGCGGTGCTCGTATGTTTACTGGTAGCAGTGGCACGGGCATGGTGTCTGGTGTTAATAGAAGCATGTCAATGGCAAGACCTGGATTCCAAGGACTCGTGTCATCATCCATGGTAAATTCTGGTAGTATGGTTTCTCCGGGTGCATTGTCAGTAAATATGCAGTCTGGATTAGGCTCTGGTCAAGGGAACACAGTTTTTAGACCTCGTGATAATTTGAACATGATGCGGGTAAGTGTTTTGAGTTTTGTTTATTGCATTTTGATATTGCCTTCTCTGGTATGGACTTCTACGCTGTCTCAAACTTGTGAAAGTGTGATTGCAGATAGGAATATCTGATATTGGCACTGCCATATTCTTCAGGGCAAAAGTAACTTTAGATATTAATCTTTTTCCCGGTAATACTTATACTGTACAAACACTATTTTAGACAGCATGTTTGGCTAAGCATAAAACTTTGCTTGAGAGTTGATAGAAAAGTTAATAATTAGTATTTTAGGTTAAAATGCTTGTGCCATCCCCAACCTTTAAGGTCTGTTGCAAATTAGTCTCAACTTTTATTTTTGGCATTTAATTCAAAACTTTCATTTTGGTGCACGTTCACCCTTACTTATGAAACCGTCAAATCTGCCATTAAATTTGATATAATACACTTACGACATCAAGTTCAAAATGAATAGAAAAATGAATGTAAAAAAAAACAGAAAAGAAAAGAGAGAAGAAAACTAAAATGACAATTCAATCATCTTCATCAATCTCTCGAATCCCATCCTAACC